AGCTGTGGTGAGGCACAACCTAAAGATGCTTGACTGTTCCTGTAGCTTGTTCCAGCCAGGGTTGCCACCTGATTTTTGTCTGTGCTGTGATTTAACACCTGACAAGGGGACCTTGCTCTGTGCTGCAACGAGATCCTAAATAGGGGTAAGAGCAGTARCTCTGACCACAGCACAGCCCAAAGCAACAGCACTGTGATTTGCTTTTAAGAGATGGGYTAAGTGTCTGTGGGGCTGCTGCACATGCCACAGCAGACCCTGTGTTCCCTGCTGTGCTTTAGCCAGCACTTAGGATGCTGCCTTTCAGTTGATGTCCCACATGCCTCAGAGCAGAGTGCGGGTGGCCCTGAGCTCTGTCTTCCTCCTGTCCTTCCTTGGCACATCATGCAGACAGGGTGGAAGGAGGGACAAAGAGGAATATAGAGACRCTGCCTGAGCAGGTGGGGATGGCTTGAGAAGAGCTAAAGCCCAGCTGGTGTTGTGGAAGGCAATAGGAGAGGTTTCTGTAAGTACATGACCTTCAAAAAGATGCTTAGGGAAAATGTGGGCCTGCTACTACCTGAACYCTTGGGACAATAACACCAAAAAGACCAAGGTACTCAGTGCTGGCTTTGCCTCTGCCTTTATGGCAAGGCCTGGCCTTCAAGAAACCCAAACCTGTGAGATCGGAGGGAAGATGTGGAAGATGCCTGATCTTTGGTGAAGAAGATTCATTTAGAGAACACATCAACTAATTGCCCAAGTCTGAGGCTTCTGCTGCAGCACAGGCTGTGYTGCCATTCCATGAGATCTTGACATGCTGGAGAAAAGGGTGGACCTTATGAAGCTCAACAGTGTCCTGCTGCTGTGGAGGAGTAGCCCCAAGCACCAGCTGCCAGCTGGAGGGCTCCATCCARTTCTGGGCTCTCCAGTAGACAGACCTGGGCATAATGCACTTCATGTCCTACAGTGCTAAGTGTTAATGAAAAATCACCACTCAGGAGACCCTYCTGAAGCATAACAATGTTTTGCATTGCTGCATAGACTCACTATCTCTTAAATTTGGTGCCAACTCCAGAAATGTGTAACCATTTTCAGGTTGTTGGGTGTTTTCCTACAGTTTGAATTGACTTTGGCTATAAATAAATCTTTTACCTCCTAGTGAAAGGTTCTTACAGCTCAGACTTTGGCAGGGAATCTCTCTTCTGCTTCAAACTTGATAAATGAAGGTTTCTTAATTCTTCTAAGGAGTAAAAATGGTACTAAATATAAATGGAAAAATGTCTAAAAATAGATACCCTTCTATAGTCAAGGTCTCTAACTGAAACCAGAGGGCCAAGTTTCCCACTCCTCTGTAACTCCATTGACTTCAGCTGGATTAGGAGAACAGTGGGTTTAGTTCCAGCCTGTTCCAGGGCCCTGTGCTGGGAGAACTCTCCATGGCTCCTTTTTGGGTTGGTCTGTAGCAGGTTCTTGMAGGCCACATCTCTGCTGCCCCCAGCTCTGGCCTGAGCAGAGGGACTGGTGCCTTTTGGAATTGGCAGGAGGCAGAACTGGCCCTGGGAGCCCCTCGCTTCTCTCCATTTTGTCCCAAAGGTTATTAGAAATACATCCATTTTTTTTAGGAAAAAAAAAAACCTTTTGAGGCAAGCAGGGGCTGTCTTCTGCTTTGCTGAACCAGCAAATCCCAAGCTGTGGATGCAGCAGCATTACTGATGGATCAGTCCTGAGCCCCACACTAGGACTCAGCCGTTGCAGTTTCTGGTGACTGTTAATAAAGCTGGGAAGCCCCCCAAAAACTGTTGAAAGCCTTTATTGCTGTTTTATCTCAGACTTAATTCTTGATGCTCTTCCATAGTGAATGTCTATCAAAAAGTTACATTAAGCCGTTAAAAGCTGGTGTCTTTGTGGCACGTGGAACTCRTTTCTGTAGCGGGGTGCAATTTATGCTGCTTAYATCTTTATTAGGSTTGGACTTGATGATCTTGAAGCTCTTTTCCAACTATAATGATTCTKAGCCACGTTACACCTTTACACCTTGCAATTAAGGGTTAGAAATGGGTGCGTGAGGATAAAAGAGCCCTGTGAGCTGAGATGTGACCCTGAGGGTCTTATAGGSAAAGGGCAGCTCCCAGCAGGACTTGTCACAAGCAGCCCAGCTCTRCTGGGCTCCAGGCTGGGGATCCGAGGCTGCGGGGCCGGAGGATTTTTGGAAGCTCCACTTCCTCGCTGCRTCCACCAAGTGGTGCTCTGCCCTGCGCTCCGCATCCTGCAGCGAGAGGAGCTGTTTGTGTGAGGGGTGACAGAGTTAAATGTTCCTGATAGCCCTGTGAACACAGAGGGCTGAGAGATGTGAGGGTCARGAAGCACCTTTGCTCTCATGGGGGCTGCCTTGTGTGTTTTCTGCCTGCTGGGCCTCAGTTGCACGATGACTGATGCAATGTGGCTGTTTTCCAAGGTGATGAGTGTGGCTGGGTGATGCCCAGAGGTTGGAGATACCTCCTGGCCATCTCCTTGGTCAAAACAAGGTCCTGTCAGGGCTCTCTTGAGTTGACTTGCAGAAATTGCAAGAGGCTTCTAAACCCCCTTGTCCCAAATGTGATTTTTGCAGATGTAAACGCTAATCTCTGTTTTCTCTGGTCTCCTTTTTCACTTAGCGCATCTAGGGAAAAATACCTGCTCAGGTCCTGTTGCTGCTCAATTTTTGTTTGTCATCTTTACCCCTAAAGTTTAAGAAACTTCAGCTTTTAAGCTTTTGCTCCCAGCAGAGGGAGAGGAGCCCCTCTCTGCAGGCTTTCTGTGCACACTCTCCAGGTGCCATTCTCAGGTTTACAGAGGCTGCTTATTTTGCACAAACACAATTTGATGGGGAAGGTTCTTAAYATAGATTTGAAAGGATGGGTACAGTAACAAAGCAGAATGGGAATTTAAGTGGCTAACTGTATTCCTGTGAGCTCTCTTAGGTGCTCTGTGCAGTGTGGTTGCTTGCAGGGTTGATGACCCCTTTCCAGCTACTGAAGAATAAGGTACAGCAGGATCCTGCAGCTAAACTCCTGCAGCAGCTCCTCTGTACAAAAGTGCAGGCTAAAACTGAAAGGTGGCAAAGGGAACTTCCTTGCCTGGTGAGCTGGAAAAGAATGCACCATTTCAAAGCAAATACTTGAATTAGAATTAAAAAAATGTAGCAAAACAGACAGTAGGATAGCAGCAGATAAGAAGGAAAATCATGCAGTTGCTAAGGTTGCTTTATCTGCAATAGGTAGGATGTTTGCATCCTCTTAGGTGTCTTCCCTGATCTACTCCCATCTTATTGGCAAGGAACAGAAAAAAAACCAAAACCAGCATAGATTTGCCTAGATCTTTGTTTTTAACACAGTCTTGGCCTTCCCAGCTAAACTAGATCCTCTGGTCCAGAGTGATGGGCTGGGTACATCAGGAGGAAGGGTTTTTTAAATGGCTGGATAGAGTTTTGTGTAAATTAAATAAAGTGCATAAATACCACGTTTGGGGTTTTTTTGCTTGCAAAAATAACCTCCAGAATTTCAGAGTGATGTTATTTCAGGTATTATTCTGTCTCATAGAGAATCCACAGGTTTTTCACCAGCATCGCATCCATCTGCTGCCATGTGAAGCGTTGGTCATGCTGCCTTCTTTCCCGAACCCAAGTTAAATCTTCTTTGGTCATGTCTTTGGCTGGTATAAACCACTTGTGACAGTTTATACCTGCTGAGCATCGCTACTATCATCACTGTTCTCCCACACACAGGAGCTCGTCTGGCAGCACGTCCCCAAGTGAGACGCAACGTGAGGAAGAGGGACCACGTCACTCTTATTGGGCTGGGAAGCAGCATCCTTTCCAGAGCTCTGAAAGGCCTAATAACCATTAAAACAGAACAAAGCTGTTGCTGCCTCAGAGCTCAGGAGTAGTGTTTGCTGGAGCTGAAACAGCTGAGCAAGGAGTGCTGTAGTTGTGCGTGTACAATGTATGTGCACACACATATGGACACGTGTGCTCGTACTCACTGCTCACGGGTTTGGCTAAGGACAGCACTCTGTTGTTACTGGTGGCATCAGGTGGTGGTGAACGCTGCTCAATGAGCCCCTTGGGTGTCTCTGCTGTCACTAAACGGGTGCTGGAGGGGTGGCTGTCTCCATGCTCGCCGGCAGAGATGTAAGAACCTCCTGTTTTGTGAGACCTTTCCTTACGTTGCTTTATTGTGTCTCCCTGGTCAGAGGGTGAGGAAGAAGAGGAGGAAGAAGAAGAGGAGGAAGAGGAGGAGGAGGAAGAGGAAGACGAGGAGGACAAGGACATAGACTCGATGGATGAAAGCCTGGAGGGTGACACGGAGCTGCCAGGCTTCACACTGCCGGGTGAGACCTCCCAGGAGCCCCTGGCTGGTCTGGAGAACGCCGCGGCGCAGCTGGCTGGGGTGTCCTACCAGGTTCCCGATACCATCGAGTGGGAGCAGCAGAACCAGGGGCTGGGTAAGAGAAGGCTCCTTCCTCTATTACGCTTAAAGAAGACATGTCTTATGTTCTTCATCTCCAYATGGGGCAATCCATTGTGCCTGGAGGTCTCATGGGTTTAGCTCTCAAGCTCTTTTGCTAAGCAGGTCCTTTTCAAAGGACACCCAGGCCTCCCCAGCAGACTTTATCCCCATGATGCTGGAGTGCAGCACATGCTGTCTCTGTGAGTGCCCYGGAGCTGCTCCTTCATCCCCAGGGCTTAGTGCTCGCTGGCTCTGAGAGTGGACCACAAATACTTGGTAGGTAAAAAGCCCAGGGAAACTTCAGCTCCCTCTGCCTGATAGGGGCTACAAATCTCATGAGGATAAATTAAGAGGGATAGTTGCTAATCAGGCCCTTAGCTACTTCGGTGACATTCTGGTAAGGGCCACTTTCCTGGCCTTTTGTAAGGGGTGTATGGTCCAAGGGATGGAACTCTGTGGTGGTGGCATTAATTCAAGCAGAACAAGCCTGTAAGGCCTATATAAAACTTCATCCAGCTTATTCCAAGTTAACTTCTGCTCCATGTTTTGTGACTATATTGGTTTATTCCACCTAGGAATAGCTCATCAGCGTTGTGGTGTTTCCATCTGACCCAAGACAAAATTGGTGCATGACAGGGTAGAGTTTAGAAAAGGATTTGACCACTTTAGCTACTCGGGGAAGGTGCTGTGATCATTTTTCCATTATATTCAGATTTGAAGCCATGTCCTGTTAAAAACCATTCGACCCTTCCAGGTGAATTTGTGGGAGCTGAATCAAGTCTGTACAGAAAATCTGTGCATAGGACTGTTGGAGACTGGGCTGTTGTGATGGAGCTGCCAAAGAAAGAAGCATCCAAACTCTTTTTTATGTTGTATTTTCATCTTGCATTGTTTTATGCTGTGTGTGTGTGTGTGTGTGTGTGTGTGTGTGTATATATAAACTTTCCCATGGATGTTTAATTCTGATATAACCTGGCAGTTCTCCCCTTGTAATCCTGTTTCCAGCCTGCTTTAGTGTTGTTAGTTTCCTTTGAAATGAATCAAAGAGCATATTTCAAGAACTCTGTGGGAGGGTTGCTTTTTGAGGGCAGATTGAGTTTGCATCAGGTCTGATACCTCCCTGGCTGATTAGCTTTTGCTTTAAAAACATTGTATTTGATGGTTCACGTGTCACATCCCTTCTGTATATCTTTTTATCCCATCAGGCTGGACAGGAACGGTGTGCGAGCAGAATAATTCTAAATCTTTAGTGGCTTTCTAGTTGGTTTTGGCAAGCCACATTAAAGAGGTACATGACAGTAGAAGAAGAGCATAAGAAACGTAGGATTATACTGGAAGTCACTTCAATGGCTTTGTGTTCTTATTCATTTTGTCGTTGCAGGATCTTTGTGGTGTCTCAGAAGAAAAGGCAGGACTAGCCTAGTGCTGATGGCACTAGTAGGAACAGAGCATGAAGCTGCAAACCAGCCAGAACTTTTGCCTGCTTTCAGGCCATACAGCCCTGGGACTTTGCAGAGCTTTGCCTCCAAAGCTGCCATGTGTACAAGGGACACAGTGTTTTGCAAACTCCAAAGTGGGTCCCCACGCATCAGGTACCACATGGTGGGGTGTGGAGGAAGACACCTTGATATCTTCTTAGTGCTTTTAGTACGTTTAACCCAGTAAAACGGAATGGYTGATGCAGTGTCATCTGGCTATGGTCAATAGAGGGCTCTTACAGGCACCTTGTATCAGAGCAGGGTGCAAGGCCAGGCTCTGTGAGCAGTGGTAAGTCTGTCTGAAGGTTCTCTGGTATCTGCTGAAGAGGTTGCGCATGACACAGGCTGTTGCCATGATGTTTGGCTCCGCATAGGAGGTTGTTCTGCAGAAGGCCTCAGACAGGGCTGTGTTCATAGTTGATGCAGGTCTAAAAGGGATTTGTGGCAGTTTTTCCATCCTTAGCGCATTCGCTGCTGGAGGAGAAGGCTCAGGACAGGAGATGCCTTGGTGAGGAGCAGGTGAGAAAAGCAGTGACCAGAGGCTGAAGCTGTTCCTGGTGGGCAGTAAGCCTCTCTGATCGGAGTGTCTGTGGCGGATGTGCACAGAAAATAGGTAGCCTCAGGCTGTGAAACAAGGTGTAGCTTGCACTTGGGCTCATAAAGGAGTCCTGGCTGCAGTGCAGAGCCTTGCACGAGGATGTTCTCTGCAGTATCCTTCCAGGGAGCTTCTGCTGAACATAACAGGCCCAGCTGTTTTTCTGATATCTAATATTACTTGATCTTGCAGCCTTCACCCTCCATCACCTTCCCTCTGTCTTAGACCTTGGAAGGATAGCCTTTCTAAAAATTTCTGTCATGTAATAAATTGACTGTGTGGCAGAAGATGGGATAGTTCTCACTAACTTGTGATTTATTTATCCTCATACAAATTGGAAGAGCCCCCTGTGAAGTCTGCCAAGTTAGCTGAGCTGCAGAGTGCTGAGTCTAGGCACCCAGGGGACTGGATGCAYGTGAATTTCTGCATCCTCCATCAATGTGTGGCTGGGTTATGTGTGGCACCAGATCCAAGTAGTTTGGATTTTCTTTTATTTTGAAGCTGTTGCAGCCTATGTGAGCAGTAGTGAGAGAAGTAGTGAGGATTGGTTGAGCTGACTTCATCTTCAGGAGGTGAATATGACTGTAGTACTTGACTAGGGGAGAAAGGAGGGAAGCAGTAGGATCAATGTCTCTGCTTGTGACTCACACTTTGCATTCTGCCAGGTAAATGCTTATGTAACAGGATGATTATTCTTTTTTTTTTTTTTTTTTCCTGTGTAGGACTTAAATGGCTTTTTGATATTGGTTCCTTCTCCATCCAGCATGCGTTTATGCCTACGATGTTCCTAAGAGGCAGGGAAATTATGTTTTAGACAGAGGAGACAGASAGAAAACCAATGATTTGCCTAAGCTAAGGAAATCAGACCAAGCAAGGAATTGAACCCAGGGTATTTCAAAGCTTCATTTGCTGGGAACRAGTGGGTGAAAGGGGGTGCTAACAGGCCTATAGCATCAACAAGGAGGTGGCTGGCAGTGCTGGGCACATTTTTTCTCTGATGCTGTTGCCGTGCTGCACTCCTTCTCTTCTCCCCAGTTACTGTGTCTGCATGTGGTCCTGCTTACAAGTTTCTTCATGGGGTAGGTTAGTAGGAGCACCCAAAGGCAGAGCAAAAAGGCACAGCTCACCTCAGCAGGAGATGAATTGTAAAAAAATAAAAGAAATGCCCCCAAACCTGCCAGAAGGCAAAAGAGCTGCCCACATTGTTGTGCAGGAGTGCCTGGGAGGACCAAACTCTGCATGAAGGACTGGTAAAACCTTTAGATCTGCTGGACCCATGGGTAAACTATTTCTCTTTGAAATCCTTTTCCTCTAAGTGCTTTTTTTTCCTAGAGCTGGTTCTTTGAAATCCTTTTCCTTTAAGCACTTTTTCTTCTAAAGCTAACATTAACTTGCCTTTAATTTTGGTATAGCTTCATAACCACTGTACGTCCCTAGCTGCAGCCCCTGGGAGGGGGAGCAACTGGATCAAGGCACTGATCTGCTGCCTGTCTCAGCCCTCTGTACMTGTCTTCCCTATGGGGAAACGTTCCCAAAACTGTGGTGACATGTGAAGGATTTTCTGTCCTGTGCCAGTGAATTATGGTCCGTCTAGAGGGGGAATTTGTCCTGCCTAACCTGGGGTACSACATAGGAGGAGCTGAGGAAGGGACACCTGGAGAGGGATCAGGGAATCTACTCACCGGAGCACGAGATAAGGGCACTCAGAGGAGATACAGCAATGCAGCACATCCTGGACACTGCGACTCTGAACACTCTGCTTTGCAGTTCCCTGGCTCAATAGATTGCAACAGATCCTGCAAGGTTACTGCAGTTTGCTCTATTAATGACTGGTCTCTCTGGGGAGCAGCTGAAGCTGTTTCCGTAGGAGTAAATGACTGCATACGCGTGGCAGTCAATTTTTGCACCCCCATGTTTGTTTCTCTCACTAATCTGTTAAGTGCTGAAAGCAACTGGGTTTATTTCTTGTGGTTTTTNTTTTTTTTTTTTTTTTTTTTTTTTTTTTCTTTCTTTGGTGTTTTTTAAACAGTTAACTTTTATAGTTGCCATTTTCCATCTTTAAAACACTTTGCAAATATTTCTTAACTTTTATAGTTGCCATTTTCCATCTTTAAAACACTTTGCAAATATTTCAAAATTTTGAAATTTAACTTGTAAATGTACTGTGCAGAAAAGCCTAGAAGTATTAGATAGCTATTAGCAGGTCAATTATTGAGTTTATTTAGCATGATGTCTGACACTCTAAAATTCCCTAAAGAGCAGGTAACTGTCAACAAGCAATCTGACAAAGCAAGAGGCAGAGTTTGCATTTTTCTACTAATCAATTAAAAAAAAACAAAAAAACCAAAAACAGAATTATTAAAAATGTCAGTTCTAGAAAGTCCCCTGGTCCTGCATTATCTCCTGAGCAAAAGCTATTTATATGCACCAATAATGATGCTGTCAGTTTTATAGTGCAGCAGCAGGCTCCCTAACCAGCAATATTTAGATAAAAGTAAAGCAGAAGATGATATCATCTATATCTTTATAAAGTAGAAATTGATCCTTCAGAAGCAACACTTACACCCCACTGCTTGGTTTTCTGCACAAAGACTTTATATTCAGAGGAGGCCAATGAAGGAAATATTGGCAATGCTGTGGGACCCTGGGACCCCTCTGGTTGTGTAAGGGGTGACTTTGACCTTCCTTCTCTTGTTTCTTCAGTTGCACCTTATGGGTGTGTAGGAGGTGAACATTCACTGTCTGAGGAGTATCAGAAGTTCTGGAAACCCCAACTTTATGAGTATGAATTTAAAAGGGTTTTTTTGTGTGCTTAAGTGAAAACAAGTGTTCATGGGTTACAACAAGCTCACTTGGATTTAGGTGAATTAGAGCTTGGTGAATGTTTCTAGGTCCTCCTTTAGTTATTCCTCAGGAATGTTG